CCAGACCCATCTAACCACAGAGCCTTATGGCCACCGCTCCCCACACATCCAGCAGGGGCTGGGCTTCACTTCACTGGGGCTGGGAGATAGACTCCTTCCCACACAGAAGGCCCTCTCACTTGGCAGACCTTGTTCTTAGACCACTGGTCACTCAACACCCCCCTTACCAGCCTAAAAGTCCCACTACCAGTGATTTAGCACTTAAATGAGGAAGAATCTATTAACTGCCCTCTGACATTTAACAACATTCAACACTGACACTCTAGTGTGAATGAGCTAACAGCTCCTCCCTCTACCCCACAGCTAGATGGATGCTGCCTAAGGAGAACTCTTTAACCCATTTTAGTGGGAGGACAGGTGTAAAAAGAGGAATAGAATAAGGGACCCCATAGGTGGCAGATGGGGCAGAGGTAGAAGGCAGAAAGGAGAGAGGAGGGGATTTGGGGGAAGGTACCAAAGGATGGGAAGTGGGGACAAACATTGTTAAGCAGAAGGCCTCTCATTTGTCCATGCTTTCTTTTTTTAAATTTTTTTTAATTTTTTTTATTGTGCTTCTAAGGCTTTCCTTTCTTTTTCTTTTTTTAAAAAGATTTATTTATTAAAAAAAGATTTATTTATTTATTCATGATAGATAAAGAAAGAGAGAGAGAGAGGGAGAGAGAGGCAGAGACAGAAGCAGGCTCCATGCTGGGAGCCCAACGCAGGACTTGATCCCAGGACTCCAGGATCACACCCTGGGCCAAAGGCCGGTGCTAAACCGCTGAGCCACCCAGGGATCCCCTGTCCATGCTTTCACAGTCAACAAAGAAAGTCTCCAAGTCTTGTATCATCCCCAGTTTCCAGATGGGAGGACTGAGTTCCAGAGAAAAAGGACTTGGTCGAGATCACACAAGACATCCAGGTCTCCTGACCAAATCCAGGTACCCTGTCCTGCCATGCCAGTTTGTGCCCTGCCCTGTCACTCACTTGTCTTCCCCACACTCCCAGGGTAGTGGTATAGGCCTCTCCTCCCGAGGATTCCAGAAGGCCTAATTTATGATTTCTGACAGCTTCCTTCCTACTGTTCCCTTCTAGCCTCAGACCCAGCTCTGTGAGGAAGGAATGAGCTGGGTGAGAAGGGCAGCTCCATGGAGCATAAATAACTTGTCCAGGCAGCTGCAGGCTCGTGGGGGGGCCCAGCACCCCCTCCCTGGCCCAGCGGGGTGTCCCCTGCTCTGGGACCAAGGGGTAACAGGGCCAGGCCTCCAGATCAAAGGCACAGAAAGCAGGCATTGTTCCCCAACCTGGAAACGCTTGGGGATGGCCGAGCTCTCCGGCCCTGCCCTTTGTCTGGGCAGAAGCTTTGAAGGGCACTGACATTTACTCGGCCCCCTTCCCTTTCATGACGTCCAGGCACTGCCTGGGCCATGAGGCTTGGGCCTCTGGGGGCTGCTGCCATGGTTCTGTGGTCACCCCTTGGCCCCCAGCCCACTCGAGGTGCTTCCTCACCTATAGAATCCTGACGATGTGGGTACAGACCCAGTGGGGCTCCCTGGCTCTCAGCAGCTGGTGTGCAAACAGGGCTGATAACCATGGACACCCCGAGCCAGGGAGGCTGTCCTGCGGGACACAGGCTCCAGTGGGGGTTCACAGGGAAGAGAGGCTGCGCCCAGGTTTGTTTGCTATGAGAACAGCATTTCCTGTTTGGACTAGGCTGGGTGGACGTGTTGGTGACTCCTCACCAGAAAGGCCGTGTTTCCCGCCACCACCCCCCCGCCTGTCCCAAGAAGGGGTGTGTGTGTGTGTATGTGTGTGTGTGTGTATGTGTGAGAGAGAGAGAGAGAGTCCATGTCCCTGTGTGGTCCGCACACACGTGCGTGTGCCCCTGTTTTCTCTCACCTCATCAGCTTCCAGACAGGAGTCTAAATCTGAGCCAAGTCCTCTTTTTCCCTAAAGAAAACCTCCCTTTGGGGCTCGGCCAGAGGGTGCCAGTGTGGCCCGGTGATAGGCTGGCACCCATCACTCACCAGCCGGCCTCGGGCAAGCCCCACACCTGGGGACAATAAGGCGGACTCCCTGGGGACAGAGCGGAGGGCAGGAGACAATGCAAGCAAAATGCTTAGCACAGCACCTGGCACCCGGTCAGCGCTCGGGAACGGAAGCCGCTCGTACTGGCGGTTGTGGTCTGGTCTTGGCAGCAGATAGGACCAGGCCCTGGGGGAGGAGGCCCCGTCCGCAGGGACAGGCCCCGAGACCTCGAGCCAGCGGTGTCTCTCCCCTCTGCCTCTGCAAACGCTGAAACCTTAAATGACCAAGACTCAGGTCCCCACAGCATTTCCTGCCCTTTCTGCTGAGGGAGGAAAGAGGACCAGAAAACAGGATGGCATTTCCCAGGAAAGTGTGTGCTTAACAGGGGGCTTTCAGGCCGTGCCCCAGGACTACCACCCGGAGACCCAAAGCTTTTGCACTTTCCCAGAATAAACTCCTGAGCCAGAGGGATCTCTAAAGGGTCATATGGCTTGTTCTTCCAGGCAGAGAAATGAGACTCAGAGAGGGGAGGTCACACAGCTCCCAGTGGTCGCTCTGGAATTGACAACTTTTGGGGAGCTGACACTATGCGGTACCCACCAGACAGTATCACCATGAGGTGTGCCCCAGGAGACCTCAGGCAATCCCAGCCTCAGCAAGGACAGGACCCCCCCGCCCTGATGTCCAAATGTTGATGACACCTTTCCCTGAGAGGATCCTGTATTGAGAGGTCCTTTTTGGGAGGGTTCTCTTGCTGGAGAAATCCTGCAGTGGCCTGAAGCGCCCGTGAGTTTGGTGGCAGCAGTAAAGGGATGTATATGCCAGTCTCACAGGAGCAAATGGACCTGGAAGTGCCTCCTCTTTCTGTGGCAGCCAGCGGGTGTCCCGGACATCTTGCAGTCCCTCCCGGCTCTCTGCAGGATGGAAGCCAGAACCCAAAACTTCTTCCTGAAGAGCTGAATGCCCTCCAAGGTGCCCTTTGGGGAGATGGGTTTTTTTTATCCTGGCCACTTAACCAGGGCTTGATGGGGCTGGGGCCCTCTCAGGAGATGATGGCCCCTTGGGAGTGACCAGTCATCCAGGGGATTGAGTCACTGATCTAGTTGTGTCAAAAAACAAAAGCTAACCAGAGAGGCACAAAGCTACATTTTGGGAGGTCAGAAAGATGGCATAAAGGAGGTGCCCCAAAATTGCACATGCTAGGGAGGGACGCAGTTCCCCAAGAGGGCAAGGTGGGTGTTGTGATGTCTTTGGAGGAAGTGGGGCATGCTTGGGGGACCACATGAAGCAGGGGACAGTGGATGCCAAGGCATGGCCATGACATCTCATGGCCACATCCGTATAAACACACAGCTGTCCTTACAAAGAGAAACTGAAGCTGGAGAGGGGCAGGACCTACCCAAGCTAATTTAGGCAAAGGCAGCAGAGCCAGGGTTTGAACCTGGATCTCACTACCTCCCCCTCTATATTGGCATGCCCTCTCCTGTCCTGCTTAGGCACAGGACCCGGGGCTGCCCAGCGCTGGTGAGTCCCAGGGACTCAGAGCTAGAGGCTGGCAGACGCTTCCTGCTGGAGTGTTTCTAGCAGAGATCCTAGGTCTGGGTCCAGACAAGCCATGGCAGGATGGAGAAGGGCAGGCCTCTGGTGCACTGCCCAGTGGGGCAGGGGGATCCTCAGCCCAGGACTGCCTGCTGCACGTCAGTCCAGGCAGAAGAGGAGGTTAGAGACTGTCCTGAATTTTGGGGGGTCCCCTCTAATGACAGCTGGGGTTCCTCCCCATAAACAAACACACCTACCACAGACATATCACACACCTCCACACAGGCATCACACACATACCACAAACACCCATCATACTTGCGCACACACACACACACACACACACACACCCCACACACATACATCACAAGCACCATCACATATCCACGCTCATCCGTCATACGCACACACATTGTGCACACACACACACTTGCATATACCTTCGAGGGATTCACACCTCTCTCCCCAGAAGCTCATCCACATACCCCAGTAAAGAAACTCCACTGTAAACTAATCCTTACCTTGTTACAGATGGGGAAACTGAGGCCCAGAACAACATGCCATCTGTACTCTTCCATAATTGTGCTTAAGAGCTGACCCCTCTTTGGGGCGCCTGGCTGGCTAAATTGGTTAAGTGACCCCCTCTTGATTTCGGCTCAGGTCATGAGCTCAGTTTGTGAGATCCAGCCCCCACAGCTGGCTCCATGCAGGGCATGGAACCCACTTAAGGTTCTCTCTCTCCCTCTCCCTCTGCCATTTCCCCACCTTAAAAAAAAAAAAAAGCTGACCCTCTGAAGTCAGACATGGGTTCAAATCCTGGCTCTTCCAACCACTGACAGAGCTCTCCTCTCTGTGCTTGTTTCTCCATCTGTAAAATGGCAGAAAGAGTGGACACTGACTTATGGCCAGCCCGGGTCTTCTCCTTGCAGGGGGCGGCCAGCGGTGCCCGGGCCTCAGTTTACTCCTCCGTGTAATGGGAATGATTGTGCCCAGCGTGCCAAGAGTGTTTGACTTGGTTTGAAGGTTAAACAGAGACAGGATGTGAAGTGGAGGCGGGGTGCCCTGCAGGGTGGCGCTCACCGCTCCGGAGGCCCCTGCTGCATCGTGGATGGATCCCGGGCGCCTCGGGAACTGGATCCCTCCAAACCGTCGGGAGGGGGTGAGTGCCTGGGCACCCTGGCTCAGGCGCGGCGCCTCTGGGTCCCGGCTGCGTCCCAGGCCCCGGCCCCGGGTCCCGCGGCGAAGGGCGCCGGGTCAGGTGGGCACCTGGCCGCCTCCCGCCCAGGACCCCCCGCCCCCGCCCCCCCCCCCCCGGCTCCTTCCGGGTTGGCGGCGGCGGCGCAGGGGGCGGGGGGCGCGGCGCGGGCCGGGCGAGGCCGGGAACGCGCGCCCCCGCCCCGCGCCCGCCTCCGCCCGCCCTCCCGCCGCCGCGTTGGGACCCGGGCTCCGGCGGCGGGGACGGCGGCGGGGACGGCGGCGCGGCGGGCTGGGGCGGCGAGGGCCGCGCGGAGGGCGGGCGCAGCATGGGCGGCCCGCGGGCCTGGGCGCTGCTCTGCCTCGGGCTCCTGCTCCCCGGGGGCGGCGCCGCGTGGAGCGTCGGGGGAGCCCCGTTCTCCGGACGCAGGTAAGGGCTGCCTCGCGCCACCTCTGCGCGCTGCCAGCTCCGGGCCGGGGCTCCAGGCGCCCAGCACCCCCAGCACCCCAAACCTCCGTGCAAGCCAGGGACTGGAAGGGGCCTGGTGCCCCACCTCGGTGCCAGCGGGATGGATGGAGAAGGGACCCGGGCCGCCCCTCTGCTGGCGGAGGGTCCCGACTCCCTGTGTCCGGAGCCGGCGTTCCCCCAGAGCTCCTGCACTCCCACCCTTCACCCCAGAGCTCCAGAGTGGGGAGAAGAGGAACAAGGAGGGAGAAGCCGCCTCCTGGGACTTGCGTCGCCCTAGCTCCAGGGCCCCCTTCCCTCCGTGTCAGAAGAGCCCAGCATATCCCCTAGCTGACCCTCGGGGACCCTCCTCCCTTTTCCCTGCTCTAGAGCGGCTTTTTTTAGTACCCCGGCTATTTATTTCCCTTGGAGGAAGAAGACTGGGGTGGAATTTCACAGATCTGAGGGCCAGTGGCCACCCCAGGGACCTGGCATTTTGAACAGAGAGGGGAGAGAGCATTCTGTGTTCCTGCTGCCCTTTCTGGAGCTGGGAACATTCCCTCCGTGGGTGTTTGTGGAGCATCTCTCCCCAGTGAGGAGCCCCTTATTTGCAGTGCGGTTGTTAATCCTTCCAGGATTGAATAAGGTAGGGAGCACTGTCCCCATTTAGCAGATGAGCAAACTGAGGCCCCCTAATCCTCTAGGCTCATGGCCCTTAATAGAAGTGCTAGGATTGAATCTGTCTCTTTCTAGCCTTGATAACAGTGTTTGAACCTGTCCTGGCCCCTATCCTGGCTGCAGCCCCCCTACCCCACCCCCCCACCCCCCCGCCCCTGCTGGGGTCCCCTCTCAAAGGCCAGCCCTTGTCTGAGGCAGACAATACGGAGTAGCCAGGCCTCTTCAGGCCTTTTCATCCCATTCAAAGACCTTCCCTGGTCCCCACCCCCTAGGGCCTCAATTCTTTAATTCTTTTCAGGAATCCCCTTTCCCAGTGGTCAGGGGCCAGCATACCCCTGCTGGGCTAGCAAGAGCAGGTGACATGGCTAGGGCTGGAGGGCAGAGGTGGCCAAGGCATCAGAGGCTAGAATTAGCAATTGTCTGAGACAGGGACAAGCAGGTGGCAGATATCACAGCCACCATCACCTACTGCATGTTGACCACAGCTGACCTGGGCCTCCAGAATCTTCCCAGCTGCCAAGGGAGGCATGCATTTGATGGTCCCCATTTCGTAGAAGTGGAAGCTGAGGCTCAGAGGGAGGATATGACCTGCCCAAGGCATGAATGTGAACCCCCAGGATCCTAGGTGCTAAGATGACCAAGACCCTAAACTCAAATTCCCAGTGTCAGGCTCAGGAAGATGATTGAGAGGGCTTAAGATCCAGACTGCCCTCCTGCCAGTCCAGGGCAGGGCCTCCCAGCCTGGGCTTCTCACCCCCCAGGGCTCCGTGGGTGGGAGGGAATAGGATGGTGCCTCTGGCAGGTAGCTTGTCACTGGAGACTGTCGCCCCATCTATTCACAGAAGGCTCACGGTGGCCTGGCATCACAAAAGCCCTGTGTGGGCAATACCGTTGCTCCCATTTTACAGATAAGCCTGGGGCCCAGAGATGAAAAGTGGCACCTCAATCCAGGCTAGCCAGTTTCCCAACCCAGTGCCCTTGGCATCCTAGGAGAAGGTGTCAGCTTGTGGGTCTGGGAGAGGTTTACAACTTGTGGCTAGGAGTCAGAGGCTCCGGTCCTGGCTGTGGCACTCAGTGTGTGACCTCAGGTAGGGCACTTCAGAGTCCTGGCTCTCAGTTTCCTCAGTGTTTCCCTCTTTCCTCCCCTTGTCCCCTGGCCCCTGGCCTGTTCTGAGGGTGGACAGTCCCCCAAAGGAAGGATGAATAGTGGTTCCTGCTATCGCTAACATTAGGTGGAGGAAGGGACCCCTAGCCGGAGGAATCTGTGGTCCTCAGCTGCCAAGACCTCCCCTTGTGGCCATGTCCCAGCATTGTTGGAGACAGCATGGGGACGTCACTCCCCATCAGCCCCCCCTCCACCCCCAGCCCAGCACCCCAGGCGCCCCTTGGCAGCCAAGGGATCAGAGGCAGAAAAGAGGCTTTGTGCCTGGGGAGGGGGAGGCCCGGGAAGGCGTCCAAGGGGCCGACCCAGCTCCAGGAATGTGGCAAGACTTCGAGACCCCCGGAACCAGGGTGCCTGGGGGCTGTACAGAGCTGCCTTGGCTTGTCCCTGCCCTGTATGTCCCCCAGTCCCTGCTGGGGCTCCTTCCTGCCCCCCTGAGGTCCCTTCCCTCCTGAATCCCTGTTTCCTTGAACGACCCCATCTCGGCTCTGTGGCTCTGGAGTAGAAGCCATCACCAGTGTCCTGGCCCAGGCCACTTCTCCCTGCAGGGTGGGCTTCCTTTGGGCAAGTCCTGGAATCAAGGAGAATGGAGAATTCTATTCCCCAGCTGCTCTCTCAGGAGCTCAAATCCTAGCTCTCCACCCACTTGGGTGACCTGGCCAGGTGACTTTTTTTGGAACCTCAGTGTCCCCCTCTGTAAAATGCAGACCCTGGCAGTCTCCATCCAATCTCTTCCCTTCAAGGGAAGGACTGTGCACGGAAGGCACTGTGCTGGGGTCTCCCAGGGAAACCGCTGGACCACAGCTGTGGGGCGTAGGGTCCAAGTCACAGTCCAAGAACCATAGCAGTTAGTGCTGGACTGTGCAGTGTGTGAAATCTCCTCTGGCAGAGGACATTCTGCTGTCCCCGTTTGCTGATGGGCAGAGTGAGGCACACAGAGGGTCAGGGCCTTGTCCAAGGTGGCTGAGTTAGGAAGCAGTGGGGCCAGGACTGGAACTTCACCTCCAGAGTGGGGTTCTGGTGCTAATCACCCCACCCCCACCTTGTACAGCTCCTTTCTTTCCTCTTCTTTTCATAACGGCCCTTGGCCCCTGGCCCGCTTGGCTGCCTCCTGCAATTAGCCCCTATCACTGTTCCGGATCGCAGCCCTGGGCCCCGCAGAGACAAAGTCCCCTGGGCCCCCGTGGCAGGGGGTGGAGGGCAAGTTGGGGGGGGCCCTTGTGGGGGTGGCCGGTGCCAGGCTGAGCTGGTCTGGCCTGTTTTCTCTCCTCCAACAGCCTCTGGGGGCCCCGGGAGGTGCTGAGTGGGCACGAGTGGCAAGCCCAGAAGAGAAGGGCTGCCTCCTCCCAGCCCTAGCCCCAGCCCCAGCCCACGGGCTCAGCCTCACTGGGTTCTTGGGCAACTTATCACCGGCCGTGTCCCAGGAGACAAAGCCCCCAGACACGGCAGGATGTAGGCAGGCTTCCGAGGGCTGCACCCATCTCTGGGAACCTGGGTCCTGGCTCCTCTGCCCAGACCCACTGTCTGTTCTTGGTTATTCAGTCATTCAGCGAACATCCATGAGCACCCTCAGGCTGAGCCCCGTCGTGGTGTGGTCCCTGCTGGTGTCCTCCCTCCACATCTGCAGCAAAGGGAAGAGCTCAGGGCTCTGAAGGGGACCTCTGGAGGTGCCCCACCCCTCCTGGGACCTTAGGACTGAGACCTAAAGGGCAAATAGGAGGTTGCTGCTGGAGCAGAGGGAAGGGCTTTTGTGGGCAGAGGGAATCTGAATACAAAGATCTGATTTGGGGGAGAGCCAGCAGCTTGAGGGGAGCACAGAAAGGTGGAAAAGGGGCAGCAGGAGTGTGCAGGAGAGCAGCATGCAGGATGGGCCGGGGTGGTCTTGGGCTCACAGCACAATGGGAAGCCATGGTGGGCTGCAGACTCACAGCAGGCAGTGGCAACACCAGGTCTATGCTTTAGAAAGAGGTCCTGATGCCCCTGCTGAAAGTAGACACAGGGGCCAGGCCAAGTCTCTGCGGAAGAATTTGGGTTTCTCCTGGGAACAGCAGGCTGAGGTCTTCAAGGTCAGGGAGGGGTGGTTTATGGTTATGAATGACTCCTCACACCACAGGGGAGAGGCCAGGGGCTGACCTTGAACCTCACGTGGCCTGAGGATCCCCTCCTGGCTAGTTAGCCATCAGCTCCGTATCTCCTAAGCAGGGGATTCAAGCAAACTCTAGCTCGTGGGAAATAAACCAGGGACCCGAGCATTGACCCACATTGGGGGCGATTTTAATTAAGGAAGGAGAAAATTATTTTCCCTAGCTGCCCCCTGGTAAAGAGGGAGCAGGTCAGGCAACTGAGCAGTCATAGGCCTACCTCCACCCCCAATCCAGTCCAGGGTCTGGGCATGGAGGGAGGGCTGTGTGCACATGCATGTGTGAGGGCATGTGGCCCTGTGTCTGTAGACAGGACAGTCATTCTGTGGCTGTGTGTCCTGTTGGATTTGCCTTTGTCTGCTTGTGTGCTTTGAATGTGTATGTGTATGTTTCCATGGGTCTGTGTGTGCGCACGGGCACGTGTATGTCCAGGGAATTGTGGGCACTCACAGCTACATGTGTGTGAGTGTGTCCGTGTGCATGTGCATCTGCATGCGTGCTCACCGGATTGATGTCTGTGCACACCTTTGTAGGTGTGTGTGCGCGCATCTGTACACTGGCGTGGAGTCTTCGTTCCTGGCCCAGAGAAGCACCTCCAGCATCTGGAGCTTCTGCATGGCCTCTGCCCAGATTGCCCCCTCCCTCCCTCACTCCTTCATTCCCAGAGCCCTAGGGCCAGCCTGGGGGACATCACACAGGCTGCAGAGAGCCCCTAGCACCCCTCAGGAAGCCCCTGCCCCCCCCCCAAAAAAAAAAAACTTGCACTCTGAGTTTTATGCATTTTTCTGGAGAGGAGCCACACCAACATCACTTTCTCAAAGGGGCATATGTCCCTGCCCCCCCAACAAGCAAAACTCCCAAGTTCAAAAGCACAGATCCAGGGACCCAAAGGATCTAAAGGGTGGGGCCTTTTGGAAATGTGCTTTTTTTTTTTTTTAATTTTTAAAATCCCCACCTGCTCATTAGGAGAAAAATTGCCAGCCTGAGGTTAACAGTGCAAACTCTAGGGTCAGGTGGACCTGAATTCCAACCCCTAACTCTGTTGTTCATCCTGGGTGCCAGGAGCACATTCCAAACCCCAGAGCCTCAGTCTTCCCATCTGTAAAGTGGGGCTCATAATTGGTGTGTGAAAGGCCCTGGTCCTAGCTCCTGGTATGCAGGATAACGAAGGCTACTGTTAGTACAGGAGACAGAGCAGATGGAAAGCCCCTCCCCACCCCCAGGGGTGGCAGTTTGACGTGAGCGTGTGATTTTACCTAACTTTAAGCACGTAGAGCTGTGTATGTGCATATATGTATAAAACAGTCTTTGGGTTTTCTTATTTTAATAGAAATGCAGTCATGCTCCATCTGTTGGTCTGCACTTGCATTTTTCACTTAACCAGACACAGTGGTCTGCACGCAGAGAACTTGGGTTCTATCTTAGCATCTGGTTTTCCATATCTAGTGGTCCTGTAGCCAGTTAGGCTGTTCCCAGTTTTGCGTGGTTCCCAACAGTGCTGCCACCAGCACCTGTCAGCTCTTCCGTGGGGTGGCTGGCCCTGGGCTCTGTTGAGCTTCTGCAGGGTCATTGGTCTAACAGAGCCATCCCTTCTCCCCACTTTGTCTTTGGCCAGGCTGTTCCCTCTTCCTGGGCGGATTCCAGGGTGACAAAATGGTGAGGGAACGTCCCCAGGGTCCCACAGTGAGTTAGTTGGCAGGTCTCGGCCAAGGGCATTGTCCTATGGGTGGACCAGGGTGGGGGTGGGCCAGCAGCTGGGAGACCGGATTTCAGTCGTGGCAGACACCTCTGCGATGGCTGGGACATTCCAGGTGCTCAGCAGCCCTCAGCCTGCACAAGGTCACGGGCCCTGCATTTTTTGCCAGGGCCGGGAAAGGAGGAACTATTTCAGGTGACCCTTCTCGGCCTGAGCCCGCCACCCCTCCAGACTTTCCTTTGTGGCCTCAAGCTTGGGGTCAGCAGGTTCCCAGGTTGGGGCCTGTGGCCTTCACAGGACCATGGACCGTGGCTCAGGAGATGGGGAGGAGACGGGAGCTGAGGTCTCTGGGATGGAGACAGGGGCCAGGCTGGGCCATCCACATTCCTGGTACAAATCCAGCTCTACCAGGCACCAGCTCCCGGATGTGAGCAGTTGTCATTTTACCCCTCTGTAAAATGTGGGAAGGTGCCTGCCTGGCTCACCAAGAAAGTGAATGTGAATACCCTTAGCATACAGTAGGTGCTCCATATATGCGATGCAATATGATTATTAATTGGCATTTGGAGAAGTCAGTCCTCCATGCTTGGGACATCTGGCTGCCCCACAGAGGGGACACAAGGATAAGTAGGACAGGGCCTCTCTTCTGTCATGCCAGGGGAGGGGGAGGGCAGGCATGAATCACCAGCTTCATTCAGTCTGACAGGTAGACAAAGCGCTGCTGGATCCTGGGCAGGGAACCATCATTCTGTTCAGGTAAGGTGGAGGCGGGAAAGGACAAGGGGAGAGGTGACAGCACTGTAAGACTTTGGAGGTCAGAGGTGCCAAGTGGGGAAGTGGGCACAGGGTGCTCCAGGCATTAGGCCCAGTGTGAGCAAAGGCCTGGAGGTGAGGGGTCACAGCAGGTGTGAGCATAGAAGATGTAGGGCTGAAGGTGAGGATGAGCAAGAGGAGGATAAGGCCAGGTTTGCATTTTAGGACACTCCTTGGGAGACGCAGAAGGGCAAGACAGAGGGGCTGCTGCTATTGTCCGGGCAGGTGGCAGGAGGCATTGAGACCCGGATGAGTCGGGGTTGGAGAGAAGTGATATTGAGAAAGGAGAAGTTGGGCAAAGACGCCTTGCTCCCGTCTTGTTCCCTGAGCCCCCCTGTTCCCCGAGACCTTCCCAGAGCCCTCAGCACAGCTCCCTCCAGGGCTATAGATTCACTCCATAGCCACAGTAGCACAAAGACTCCCACTGGACCCAAAGGACTCTGAGAGCTCAGGGGTCTCCCTACCCACAGACCCAGGGCTCTGGGAGAGAACCCGGACCTCCTCACTCATCTTCCCAGGGTCCTAGGTGGGAGCCATGCCTGGCACCTGAGCTTCCTCACTGTGGATCTGTTTCAGGAACTGGTGCTCGTATGTGGTGACCCGTACCATCTCATGCCACGTGCAAAATGGCACCTACCTTCAGCGAGTGCTGCAGAACTGCCCCTGGCCCATGAGCTGCCCGGGCAGCAGGTAAGCGAGACCATGGTGGAACAGGAGCTGGTGGCATTCCAGGTGGAGGCACAGCATGAGCAGAGGCCTGGTCGTGGCACCGCTTGGGGAGTACAGGGGAGTGCGGGGACCCGAGGGTGTGGAGCCAAGGAGACATCGGCCCTATGCCCAATCTCAGCACCTCCCTTTATGCTCCTGGGGCACCTGGAGGGCTTCCTGAGGGAGGGAGTCTACCTTTTACCCACATACATTCACTCAGTGAGGCTGCACCTCTGGGGACAGGCCAGCTCATAGGGATGTCCCATCCAGTTGGTATCCCCCCACCTGGGGAGCTAGGAGGATTTGGAAGGGCCACATCCCAGAATACAGCAGGAGAGAGGCTCCAGAGGGGCCCAGAGGTGGCAAAGGACCCCTGGACTTTGTCCCCATGGACATCCAGGTTGGTGGGAAAGGCAGTAGAAGACTTTGTCTGAGTTCAGCTCCCTGGGCACTCTTTCAGCTACAGAACGGTGGTGAGACCCTCCTACAAGGTGATGTACAAGACAGTGACCGCGCGTGAGTGGAGGTGCTGCCCCGGGCACTCCGGGGTGAACTGTGAGGAAGGTAGGACTACCCTGAGGTGCGGGCCAGGGGCCCCTCAGGTGTGCGGTGTGGAGGGAGACCGGTAAGCCTGCTAAGTCGGCAGGTGCTATGCACACTGGGGCCCGCGAGGGAGGCTTGGCTTGGACACAGCCGGGGCCTGCTGTCCTATAGGTGTTGACCACTGGCCTCTTGGGTGACTCTCAGGACCCCTGCAGAAATCTCAGACATGCTATGTAGCTCATGTCTTGGGTCACACCACCCCAAGTCTCTCCTCCAAACTTGGGGAACACCCGTCTGGACATTTCCATTGGATGTGGTAACAGCACACCAGAGTGAAACTGGATTGGATCAGCAGGGTTGGGATCATTGTATCCACCTTGCGGGTGAAAAAAACGGGCTCAGAAAAGTGATAGGTAGAGAGTGCCTAAGGGGCAGTCAGGATTTGAACCACGGTCTGCCTGGCCTCCCCCAGGGCCTGAGGGATGGGTGCCCTGCATGTAGAGCATGCCCCAGGTGTGGGGGGGGGCTCTCACCCCAGCCCCCTCCTCTGCAGGCAGCCTCTCACGGCCAAGCGCCCAACACCTGTGGGGTGCAGAGGACACAGCCCAGACGTCCCCATACCCTGGCCACCTGCTTGCCTGGGGAGCCCTCCCCTAAAGGCTCCTGCCTCCCTGCTAGGCAGTCTGGGTGGCTGCCACCCTCACTGCCTACATGAACTCAGTGAGAGGAAGACTTCCCCTGAATGGCCCTAAAGAGGGTAGACCAACCTAGAACCAGCCCGAGAACCAGGCCTGTAGGCACCTCAGTGGAAAGGGCATTTCAGGGCCCCTGAAACAGCCCATTAACATGAGCTTCAGTGACAAGAGATATTCTGATTCCAGAAACACGAACGTGTGAGACCTGGCCTCTGGATCAAGGGAACAAGAGGCTAACAGACATCACCATTCTTAGGTGCTCTGTGAAAAGATTTATATGCTTCACCTCCCTGGGACCCCCTACCTCCCAAGAGTTCTGGTCCTCCAGCCAGCGAGGTGGAGCCCCATGCCCACAGAGTCACACAGGGTCGGGGGCAGGGCTCACCACAAAGTGGGGCAGGAGGGGGAGTGGCAGGTTTCCCTGTGGGGTTGGGCAGTCCCCAGTTCTGGTGGGGTGACCAGAGGGGCAGGGGAGAGGCAGCCACCAGGCCAGTGTGGAAGGGTGGAAGCCAAGGGGAACCAGGAATGAGACCCTCCCCTCCCTGCTGGAAGAAAGAGGGAAAGGCGGAAGGGCCCAGGGGCCAGGAGGAAAGCCAGCCGGGAAGGGCTGCTGCCAAAGAGGCCACAGAGGAACTGGTGTGTGGGGGTAAGTCCCCAGAGTGTGGGGGCCACTGGGGCCCAGTGGGCCCAAGCCCAGGCAGGGCCTGCCCAGACAAAGGCCACTCTGTCCCTGGCTTCCCTCTCAAGGGCAGACCTTCCCAGGTCTGTGGGGCCATCGTGGAGCCAGGGAGGGTGGGGGGCCCATGGGGCAGAGCCAGCATGCCCTTGAGTCCTGCAGCTGGTGGCCGGGCATCCAGAAGCCAGGGTCAGGGCTGAGGGCTCTGCCAATGGCGAGGCGGGGGTGCTAAGTCACTGCCGACAACTGCCATTGCCCTTCGCAGGCCTCCAGGTCCCCCTGGGTCCCAGCACCCAGGGATTCATGGGCCAGGCCAGCTCTGCTATAGACCAGCTGTGTGGCCTTGGGCTCTTGCATTGTGCAAGGGCACCCGGCTGGGGCGTGGGGAGGCTGCTGTGCAGGTGGCCCTCGTCCTGTGCCTACTCAGAGGGAGGGGCACCCTCTCTAAAGAGCACCAGGCTGCTGTGTGCTCTGGTGGAGTCTGGGGCTCCCCCACACTAAGTCTCTGGTGTTCTCACCTGTAAAACCTCCCAGGATGTTTTAAGAATGAAGCCGGTAGTAAAGACCCCGCAGGTGGCATGACTGCCCGGGGTGATGATTGATGGGATGACAGGAGGGGCCTTTTCCCAAACCCCTGCAGTCAGAGCTGAGTAAAGGGATGCCGGGGCCTGGATAATCTGAGATACTGCTCTGCTAGGGCCCTGGGAGTGCGGGTGGGGGAGCACGGGGACTGCAGCCCTATCCTGGCCCTGCCCTTCCTCCGACAGCTGTGTTGAGGCTGAGCTCCCCCAGCTGTTTCCCCTGCTGGTGACTGACCTCATAGTCTGCTGAGCACTGTGACGTGGACATAGGGCAACAGAGCTGTGTCACCAGAGCAGCCCAAGTGGCCTTAAGGAGGGGAGGGAGGACCCATGTTCCAGAATCCAGATCTAGATCAGCTATGCTTTGCTGTGTGATCTGGGGCAAGTCACTCCACCTCTCTGAATCTTGACTCTATCTGGAAGTCACCTGGGATTAAAAAGTGCCCACTTTGTACTTTATTATGAGCATCAGAGATTCATGTCTTGAACCTAATGGATGCTCTCCCCTTCAGCCCTGATGCTGGGGATTCTGTGAGGCCTCCTGGGGACTGTCCTGCCTCTGACCTCTGAAACTTCTGTCCTCTCTTCAGCAAACAGGTCTCCCTAGGCTTCCCCACCCCCATTCCCAGGGCCCTCGTCTCCAGATTCTTCATTCATTCATAGCTCTTAGCTGTGCTTTCCCATCTTCAGAATGGGAATGTTCATTCTGTGATGATGACAGAGGATGTTCTCTGATGTTTATGATAACATGTGAGGAAAAGACTGGAATAGGCCCCATTTGACAGGTGGGAAAACAAAGGCTCAGAAAGGCCAGTGGACTGACCTAGAGTCACTCAGCACGGGAGAGCCAGGATTGGGACAAGCCTGGCCAAGCTTCTGTTAGTGCCTCCAGGTCTTGGGAGGTGGGGCTAAACGGCGGGGAGGGAGCCTGGCTGAGGTCTCATCTGGCTGCCCACTCTCACTGGAAGGCGTTTGAGGAAGGGCCAAGGCCAGAATGTTCTAAATCTGCTGGCCCTGAGCCCCTAGTGGGCTCTGCTGAGTACAGGGCTGTTGTGGCCTCAGGTGATCCTGCCTCTGGGGAGGAGCCCCTGCAGACAGATCTTTTACCCATCAGCCCCATTGTCGGGATGATGTAAGTGAGGCTCGGAGAGGGCGTAGGTGTCATCCAAGGTCACACAGCCAGTAAGCTTTGTCGCTGGGATTCTCAGAGCCAGGACTCTGACCTGAGGTCTGCAGTCTCCGCCCACCCGAGACCCTCCCCAGGAACAATGACCAGGGGAAGGAAAGCATCCACCATCTGCCAGGCCCAGCACCATGACTCATTCTCAGCGGTGTCCTGCTATCATATCATGGCGGAAGGTACAGATGTCAACACTGAGGCTGGGAGAGAGAAGTGCCTCGCTCGGGTCACATCCAGATTCAAAGTCCAGCAGTGTGACCCCAGGCCAGGAGTCTTCCTCTGCAGCAGCACCAGCCAGGGACTTCCAGAGGGGAGCATTCAGACAACTGGGGCACCGTGAAACTGGCAAAAGCCAATCTCAGCCCCAAGCCATCCCAGCTAGAAAGGTAGAGGAGCTCCCTCACTCTCCCATGGGATCTCCTGGAGTTAGGAGACCTCTGTTTGCCCCTCAGTGTCCCCACTGTCCTTAGCACACATGTCCCTTCCCCATCTGTGGACTCACACAGCCTTTGTCTTCTGCAATACAACGAGAGAGGGAAGAAGTTTGCCCAAGGGTCACACAGCAAAAAGCTTAAGAACAGATGGGAGATTGCGGCCCAGGCCTTTCCTGGGCCCTGTACCTCCCCACCATCCAGGACCAGGCCCTTCCTGCCCATACCTCTCCAGGCCTAAGTAGATGCCAGTTACAGGGCCAAGTTTGTGCTTTACTCTGAGGATTCAGGATCCTGTGGCCTCAATGCTGCATGAATCTGCTAGAGTCTACCACCCATCTGCTCCACTGCTGTCTAGAAGACATGGTGGCCCCATCTCCTGACTCCCCATCAATCCATCCTCCGCCCCCAGCCAGTGGCTCCTCTCTCCACCTTCCTGGCCGCCCTGGTGATGTGCTCCAGCCTCACCCCCCTTCCATTTTAGCCCTGACCCACACTGGCCTCTCCCACCCCACAGACTGGGCAGCAGCTGTCCCCTCTGCCTGCAACCTTCTTGGAGCTGCCCCCTGGCTATGATGGCCTCCACCCTGCCGTCACTATTCATGTCTTTCCAGTACCTGACATACACAGGAATGTGGGTACACAGGAAATGAATAGGAACCTCATTTTGCCCTGAAGAGAAGGCCAGGCCAGACACAGACTGAGGCTTCCCAGAGGCCAGCTGGAAGGTTCTTGGAGCTCCCTGCCACACCCCTGACCCATCCTTGGTTCAAGCCAACAGCAGCAAATATTTACATTTGCAAAGTAAATTGCCAGGAAGACACCTGGCCGGGGACTAAGGAAGCAGCATTCCTATGGCTGTGGTCACTGGACCCAGCAGACCTGGGGGTGGCTTGTGAATGAGGAAGCCCCTCCCCTGGTGCCTGTCCTGGGAGAGAAGTCAGACATGAAGCCCGGGGACACTCTCAACTTCTCATATCTGCCTTCCCAGCAGAGCGTGGGGCTTGGATCCCCACCTCCCCACCTCTCTGTGTGGACAAGCAGGCTCTCCTTTCTGGGCCTCATGTTCTCATGAGGACCCAATGTGAAGCGGCTTCTTAGCTTAAACTTGGTACTGGACAGAGGGAAGGGAAGCTGCTTGTGGGGGCACAAGGCTCAAAACTGTCCGTGATGCTGTCCTTGTGCAGATCAAGACAGGGAGTGATGGAGTAATGAGAGCTTTAAGGGGGAGCTTTGGTGGGTACCTTGATTTGTCTGGGAAGACTTCCTGGAGGAGGTGACATAAGAGTGTCACCTGCGGGGAAGGGGGTAGAGAGGCAGTGCGTGCATGTGCGTGTGTGTGTGTGTGTGTGTGTGTGTGTGTGTGTGTGTGTTATTAGTGGAGACCTCCTAGGTGGTGGGAAGTAGCCCGCAGTGAGGCCTCCAGAATAGAGCTGGGGTTTATGATTCTAGAACCAACCTGGAGCCCCTGAGAGGGTGAGGTTTGGGTTGAGGGGCAGCCCTTTAGACCAGACTGCCAAGCTGGGGTGAGGGGGTTTTCAGCACACTGGGGTCTGCTTCAGGGTCCCAAGCCCAACACCAATGGGAAGGATGTGATATTTTAAGATATTTTTGGGAGACCTCCCCCCAACCCTTGGCTTTTTCCCTGCTGGGATTTGCTGTACTAAAGGGCCATTTTACAACCTGGTGTGTCTCTTAAAATGGTTCTGTCCATTATCAGAATTTGGAGGAGTTTTGGGGATTTTTTTTTTTTTGGTGAATCCTGAAACCAAAGCCAACATATTCTGGAATTTTTTTGACAGTGTTGTTATTTCTTCTTCCTTCCTTCCTTCCTTCCTTCCTTCCTTCCTTCCTTCCTTCCTTCCTTCCTCCCTTCTTTTTAAAATTTTAACTTGCCATTATTTTGAGCCAGTTACATTTATGCTGATGGTCAGACCATGTTTTCATTAGTTTTTCTAGTTCTCTCTGGCTCCCAGTGAAATGTACGAAAGCAAATTGGTTGAAAAAGAATTTCCAAAAAAAAAAAAAAAAAAGAATTTCCAACCACGATTACACAAATTAATATCTCAAGGAAACCCTCATGTGATGTTAGAAGATTTATGCTCATTTTTAAAACCATTATGTCTGCTGTCCACAGTGTTTTGCCTTTTGTTTGTTTTACATTCATTTTCAGTCGGTGATTCATGCATTCATGAACAGAAGGTTTGCTCAGGCCGCTGAGGCCCTACTATGCACCAAGCGCTGTTCCAGGCCACATGCAGGACAGACTAGGACCCTGCCCTGGTGGGGCTCGTGTTCCAGCCAGGGCGGTGGATGATGCAGTGGACTTGGGGACTAACACAGCATAGAACACGTTAGAGGAATGCCATGGAAAAACATGGAAACAATAGCAGGGTAGCAGGGAGGGCGGGCTAGGCAGATGCTTTGCCAGATGTCATCCCAGAAAAAAGCCCAAACTTCCATGGGGTTGGAGAGACAGCAACTTCTTTTGGTAGGCATCCTGAAAAGAGCAATAAAATGGCCTTGTATGTCTTCACCTGGGAGCAAAGAGGATGAAGAGGGCTTTGTGAGCCCATTCTCCTGTAGAGCCAGCATTCTTGTTGCCGCCAGGCCTCCCTGCCTCTGCGTGGTCGGCTGACTCAAGGTGCCAGGCGGCCCAGGGAGAGGAGATCAGGCCCCGGAGTTAGGCCAACCTGGGTTCAAGTCCAGGCTCCAGCCTTCTTGCTTTCCCCTATGAAAGAGATGCATATTCACTCATCCACTGATCTGAGCACAGGGGACAGAGGAACTCCGTGCCTCAGTTTCCCCATCTGTAAAGTAGAGGTGGTACTAGCACCCACTTACGGGGTTTTGTGAGGATAATGAGTTAAGACCATATATGTGAAGTGCTTAGTAGAATGTGCCAGGCCCAGAGTTAAGCGCTAGCTGTTAAGTGTTAGCTGTTATTACCTACCATGTAGAACCATACTGGGATATCTAAAGTACTTAGCATTGGCTGTGGCTCACAGTGGGACCCCCCCCCCACACACACACACCTGTCCCCAAGCCCTGATCCAGTCTTGGGCTGCCAACCCACTTCCCTCTGTCCTGGGTGAGACTTACTCCTGGTGCTGGGGCAAGTCCCAGGTCCGCGGGGAGGGTGTGCTGGGGCTGCAGGCCCAGCTGAGCGAAGGCCCCACAGGGGAGCAGTGTCTGGCAGCCTCCTTGCTGGGGGCTGGCCAGAGGCACCCGTCTGGTTTGAGTTCCTGGCGCCTCGCTCCCTGCACCAACCCACAGCCTGGCTTGGAGCCGCCAGGCCTGTGCCTTATTTGGGTCTTCTCTCCCCCCAGACAGCACTTTGTGGCCTTAAAAGGCAGGCCTGGGGGGTAGAGGGGGGCAGTTGCTACTGCTGGCTCCAGAGCCCCTCCAGCTGTGCCCCCCGCCCCTGGCTTGGCCAGCCCATCCCTCTGGCTGTGGAGAAAACCAGGCCCCCAAAGCCAGGCCAGCCGGGGCAGCCTGTTCTTCATAGGGGTGGTGGCAGGGGTGGGCTCCTGGAACATAGCCCCCCTTGCCCTCCTAGGCAGCCAGCCTCCCTCTGGTTTTCATTTAAAACCAGAGCTGGAACCCACTTCTGTGTCTTCTTACCAACTGGGGCGGGGAGAGGGTGGATGTCCCAGCTGCCTACTATGCACTGGGCCCTATGCATGCACAGTGGGCCTCTTTGTATGCATCACCTTCCTCAGGCCTCACACCAGCCTGGAAGATATAGTGGCCTTATGACCCCATTTTACAAATGGGAAGATAGGTTCAAAGAGGACAAGTTGTACAGGTCAGCAAGGAGCAGGGCTGGGACCCGGCCTTGCATCCGTTAGCTTTAAGCTCTTAACCCCTGCAGCTGCCTGGGGTCACTGGAGAAGCCTCACTGTGGCCTCTGGCCCCCGCCCACCACCAGCCCCTTGTCCCAGCCCCATCAGGTTGGCAGTCTTGGTCCAGTTCAGCCCAGCTCATGCTGTGTGACCCAGGTAAACCGTCCCACCATTCTGAGCTTCCGTCTCCCTCTGCACGAAGGGGTGTAGGGACCCCTGCTGGGGTGACAGTGGCCAATGGGCAGGGAGGGGTGCAAAGCAAGAATGGTGCAGGCCAGCTGAGCTCTCACCCCCATCGTTCCTCATTTGCAGGCTCCTCTGGCTTTGTGGACCCTGGGTGGTCAGGCAACACCATGCGACGGATGGCATTTCGGCCCACAGCCTTCTCAGGTGGGTCCTTGGGGCACCTGCATGGGGTCCCCCTGGTTTAAGGGAGGTCTGGTGGGAGCATGGGCAACGTGGTGATGGTCCTAAGGCTGGCTGGATCCAGCAGTGGAGGGTCAGGGGGAGCACCCACCCTTGCCCACTCCAGACTGCAAAGAAGAGTGAGGGGGAAGGAGAGAAAGGGCCCTAGAGGGAGTCTGACCTGGGCCAAGTACCCCAAGACTCATGATCCCCAGACTCTAGCAGACGTGTGCCCAAGCCCCCAGTTTCCTCTTTTTATTTAAACTATACTTTTCTAAGTGTCTGCAGTGAATGAGGCACTGTGCCAGGTGCTTTCCATTGTTGGCTCATTTAAATCTCCCAGCCCCAGGAAGGCATCATTGTCCCCATGTTAAAGAGGAGGAAGCCGAGGGTCAGAAAGGAGACATGCCCTGCCCAAGGCTGCATAGCCAGGAAGAGGCAACGCTGGGACTCAGCCCCAGACTTTGTGCTTGTCAAGAACTCACCCCGCCCTTGCTCTGAGCTCAGTGTCCTCAGATGTGAGCTGGGCTGACACTCGTCCTAACACCCAGGATCATGGTATGGACTGGAGAGATGAGCCTGTGATGCCCTAGGCCCGTGCACTGCAGCTGGGAGGTTGAATAATGGGCCAGAACTGCTACGGATGACTTAGGGGTGTCGCTGGGGAGCCCAGAGGAGCTAGCGGTGGTTGTGCAGGGAGGATCAGAGGGTGGCACCGCTGAGGCCAGCCCCACCCAGGGGGAAGCAACAGGATTTCCTGCCCTGGCTTCCAGGGAAGGAGTCATCTTGGATGCAGAGGCTGCAGGATGTGGGTCCCTGGTCCTGCTCTGGAGGCTCTGGAGCCAAAGGAAACCCTCAGGCCATGACCACCCTGGACAGGCCATAGCCCCTTCCCTGCATGGGGCCATTTCCTGGGTCGGGGTCATGAGGTGTCTGTCTCCTTGCCTCTATCCTGCCCCAGACACCTGGCCCCAGCCCCAGCCTCCTCCCTCCCTGCAGGTTGCCTCAACTGCAGCAAAGTGTCAGAGCTGACTGAGCGGCTGAAGGTACTGGAGGCCAAGGTGGGTGAGCAGCTGCCCTTTCCCTGGCCTTCCCACCCCTCCACACCCCCCCACGTCCCATTGGCTCATCATTCCAACAGTGCACCTCTGAGCTGAGCTTCAACACCCAAAAACAGGTGGCCTTGGGACGCCTGGGTGGCTTAGCGGTTGAGCATCTGCCTTTGGCCCAGGGCATGATCCCAAGATGCTGGATCGAGTCCCACATCGGGCTCCTTGTGGGGAACCTGCTTCTCCCTCTGCCTGTGTCTCTGCCTCTCTCTCTCTGTGTCTCTCAAGAATAAATAAATAAAATCTTAAAAAAAAAAAAAGCAGGTGGCCTCCCCACCAGGCACCCACCACCCTCCAGAACAAGCTAGCCTCCCTTCTGTCCTGTCCCCAGAAAGCCTCCTTCCCCCAGGAGGCCCACGAAACTCTCCTGAGCACCCCCATCCCCATCCCAGCCAGATATTTGTAGACATCCCCTAGAGCCCGTGGCTAGGTCCCTTCCTTGCCCTGTCACCTTTGCCCTTTATCGACCCCCACACACACCACCATAATACTACCTTACCCGTTTCCAAAGCAAAACATCTATTGTGCATCTCAAATTATTTTAAGATAAAAAGGTTTTAGAGGGGCACCTGGGTGGCTCAGTCGGTTGGACATCTGCCTTTGGCTCGGGTCATGATCCTGGGGTCCTGAAATCAATCCCCATGTCAGGCTCTCTGCTCAGGTGGGAACCTGCTTCTCCCTTTTGCCCTCCCTCTTCTTGTCCATGCGCGCTCTCTCTCTTTCTCTCTCTCTCTCTCTCTCTCTCTCTCAAATAAGTAAAATCTTAAAAAAAAAAAAAAGCTTTTAGCAATTCAAAAGTAAAACATTCTAGGGACAGCTGGTGGCTTAGTTGGTTGAGTGGCTGACTCTTGATTTTGGGCTCAGGTCATGATTTGGGGATTGTCATATCCAGCCCCACTTTGGGCTCTGCACTCAGTGATGAGTCTGCTTGAGATTCTCTCTCCTTCCCTCTGCCACTCCCCCACCTCATGCATGTGCATGTGTGTGCACACTGTCTCTCAAATAAATAAATAAATCCTAAGAAAAATAAGACATTCTAAATTTAGAAACATGAAAAACTCAGGGCAGCCCTGGTGGCGCAGCAGTTTAGCTCCACCTGCAGCCCAGGACATGATCCTGAGGCCCCGGGATCGAGTCCCACGTCAGGCTCTCTGCATGGAGCCTGCTTCTCCCTCTGCCTCTCTCTCTCTCTCTCTCTCTTGCATCTCTATGAATAAATAAATAAAATATTAAAAAAAAAGAAAAAGAAAAACTCAGAACCATGAAAAACCTACCAGAAAACCATCTGCAGCAGTCACTTGTCCCCCTAGACAGAACAACGGTCAACATTTAAGCATCTTTTCTTCCAGACATTTTTTCTTTTTTTTCCCTTTTTTTTTTTTATCTTCCAGATTTTTTAAGTAACATAGAGACACATATGCTTCATCTGCATAACCTTTCCTCTGTCACTCTGGGAATTTATCCTAAGGAAAGTAGATATAAAGATGTTTACCAAAGTGTTAATAATGAACAGGGAAATTTGAAAACCAGGTGGCTGAAGGGTTGCAAAGTTAGCGTGCATGGCTCTGAGGAATACTAGACAGCCGTTCACAACACCTCCATTTTGTAACATGGAAAGATCCCCTGATGTATCAAGGGGAAAAAACCAAGCTTCTGAACAGCATGTGCTAGAACCCTAGTTAGGAGGTATAGGAGCTCCAGGAAGCCCACACTGCTTCTCAGGCCTCCTCCCAGGAGAAGCGGGCATGAGGGGCTTGGTCTCAGATCTAGGGTGTAGTTCTCAGTTCTGGGTCCACCCTACCCCCTCGTCAGTGGGCATTCTACCCTCCTCCTTTTTATTAAGATTTTATTTATTTATTTATTTATTTATTTATTTATTTATTTATTTGTTTATTTATTTTAGAGAGTGCACGTGAGCAGGGGGAGGGGCAGAAGGGGAAGAGAAAGAAAATCCCAAGCAGACTCTGCGCTGAGTACAGAGCTCGATGCAGGTCTCCATCCCAGGACCCTGAGATCACAACTTGAGCTGAAACCAAGCATCGGTTGCTTAACCTACTGAGCCATCCAGACACCCCTTCTGGCCCCTCTCTCTCTCTCTCTCTCTCTCTCTTTTTTTAAATATTTTATTTATTTGAGGGATCCCTGGGTGGCTCAGCGGTTTAGCGCCTGCCTTCAGCCCAGGGCATGATCCTGGAGACCCGGGATTGAGTCCCACATCAGGCTCCCTGCTTTTTAAAAGAAAAGATTTTATTTATTTATTTGAGAGAGAGCACAAGCAGGGAGGAGGAGAAGAGGGAGAAGCAGACTCCCTGCTAAGCAGGGAGCCCAATGAGGGACTCGATCCCAAGACTCTGAGATCGTGACCTGAGCTGAAGGCAGATGCTTAACCGACTGAGCCCCCCAGGCGCCCCTGGCTCCTCTTTAATCCTTGGTCAGTGGCTCAGCGGTCACCCTTGACCCTTAAAAGGCTCCCCCACTCTGGGTCCCAAAGTGGTTGAGGCCTCTGGTTCATGTCACACTGTCCCAAACATCCCTCCGAACTTAGTAAAAATTCTTCCAACCTGTGGTGCTTTAACAGACCAAGAGAAGTTTCAGATTATTGACGCAGGTAACCATACGAAAAACCACGCAGCCCAGCAAACACAGGGATATAGAACTCTACTTGGGTGTCAGCGATGGTGTGTCGAGGTTTTTCTTTTTTTTAAAAAAAGGTTTTATTTAATTATTCATGAGAGAGAGAGAGAGAGGCAGAGACAAAGGCAGAGGCAGAGGAAAAAGCAGGCTTCACACAGGGAGCCCGACGCAGGATTCGATCCCAGGTCTCAGAATCCCACCCTGGGCCAAAGACGGTGCTAAACCTCTGAGCCACCAGAGCTGCCCCTGTTGTGGCTTTTCTAAGGATGAATTGTGCAGTTGGAAAGTCACAGTGACTTCTGGGCCTCTGTGAGGCCAGGTCTTCCGTCCGAGCTGTGTTTGCTGGCTACATGGGTCTCCTGTGCCCAACATGGGGGCCCCTCTGCTGGCCTGTCCCTGGTGAGACACCACTACCAACCCTGTCTTCTTCCTCTTCTTCCACAGGTGGCGGTGCTCACTGTCACTGAGCAGGCAGTGAGGCCAACCCCAGCCGCCCCCGGGGACCCTGTCCCACTCTGGGGCTCCCCAGCAGCTCAGGGCAGCCCTGGGGATGGAGGCCTCCGAGGTGAGTGGGTCAGTGAGGGGTATGCTCCCATGTGGGGATGAATCAAGGGAGCAGTTCTAGTCCCCACCTTGCTACTGACTCCCAGTTTGACCCCCCTTCCGGGTCTCAATCTCCCCAGTTCTCTGGTGGGCCTGGGGGGACAGGGTCTAGCAGCCCCACCGCCCCTGCCCCACACAGTGGAGCTGGGCATAGGGACTCTGGATGACACTGAGCTCTGCCTAATGCCCCTCTTACTCCAGGGCTACCCGGAGTCAGAGAGAACACGAGGGCCCCGCTGCTCCCTCGAGATGGTAGGTGCTGGCTGGGGTGCTGGGGCAAGGGTTGGGACAAGAGCAAGGCCAAAGCCATCAAGATGAACTTTCTCCCCCAGATCGAGTTGGTGGCCAGGGGCTTCCTGGGCCCACTGGCCCTAAGGGAGAAACTGGCAGCCGAGGCCCAACAGGGATGAGAGGCCCACCAGGTGAGTGCCCACAGCACTGCCCCAACCCTACTACTGCCCACAGCTACCCAGGTCAGCCCTGTCATTGAACCCTCTCTTGGCCAATGGTAGCCTGAGCCCCTTCTACCCACTTGTCTCTCACCTTGCCACCCCTCCACTTGTGCTTGGGCTGCCTAAAGCCCACTTTTGCATTCATTGGACCCACACTTCCTGGGCACCTACCCTAGCAGGCTCTGAGCTGGGCACTGGGGTGGCATTAGACCAATCCCTGCCTCCCAGGGCTCCCAGCCCAGTGTGTGTGTGTGTGTATGGAGAGGGGAAACTAGGCCAAGGAGAAACAGCAGTGCTCCCCACCATGTGGCCAGGGCTCTTCTGAGGGACGATACAGGTATGGGAGCTTCAAGGAAGGAGGCATAGACCCAGCCTGATGGGTGGGAAATGGGGAGGGCTTCCTGGTAGGAGTGACATCTTAGCTGAGGATGATTTGAAGTAGACACCAGGCAGAGCAAGGGGAGGACCGGTAGACAGAACAGCTCATTCAAAAGCCTGGAAGGGAGAGAAGAGAACATTCTGGAAATCAACATTTCCTAAGAATCTACCAAGTGTCCATTGTCCCAAAGCCCCTGCAGAGGGCTATTCATCCTCCTAATAGATGGCCAGGGAGGTCAGAGCCAAGACTGGCCTGGGCCTATGGCACCTCTTATATCACTGCCCCAGGCTGCCTTGTCCTGCCCCCTTGCAGCCCCCCTCGGCCTCCCTGCCTCCTATATACCCACCAACTCTCTGGTTCCATTGTAGGTCCTCAAGGTCCCCCAGGAAGCCCTGGCCAGGCTGGAGCTGTGGGCACCCCTGGAGAGAGGGGACCTCCAGGCCCACCAGGGCCTCCTGGCCCCCCTGGGCCCCCAGCCCCTGTTGGGCCACCTCACATCCGGAACCCCCAGTATGGTGAGTCCCTTGGGGCCATGACAGATAATGGTGGGGGTGGGAGACAAGGCTGGCATAATCATTACCCCAGTGCCACTGCCATCTACCGGGTACCTTCTGTTTACCAGGCTTGCCTTTGGTCAGGATTGGTGTCACTCAGTCCTCCTACAGGTGTCATTGCCTCCTCTGTTCTCAGATAAGGAAAACTGAGGGCCAGAGAGGGACGATCACATAGCCAGGAAATGGGGGACTGCCTTCAAACCCAGGCATCCTCCAGGGTTGGAACAACCGGCATCTGGCCCTCCTGCCAAGCCTTGGAGCTGGCCAGGATCCAGCCCTCAGAGTGCTGGAAAGCTCAAGGCCTGGCAGCAGGAAATGAGCTCTGTGCTCCCTGGCCCTGTGCTCAGAGAGCCGCCTCTGCCAAGCTGGGCTCTGATGTGTATCCTTTGCCTCTTCCCCAGCCTGACCTACCTGTATGCTGCCAGTGGTCAGAGCTTGGAGTGCCAGGTTCAACCCTACCTGTGCCATATCTTTGGGGTATGGCTGGGCACCATTCATATATTCCCCTATCCCACTGTTCATTCCATCTTACCATTCCTTCTCCTTCCCCAAGCCTCAGTTTCCTCATCTGTATAGTGGGGAGAGTGACTGTACAGTTCTCCCAGAGTTCCATGACCCCCATGCACAGAAGCCTGTCACAAAGTAGGTGGTCAATAAATGGTAGCTTTTACTATTATTCCCATTTGACATGTGGTAGTACAGGCTCAGCAAGGTAGAGTCTTGCTAGATGTCACTAGCTAGACTGTGGTAAGGTTAGAATCCAGTCCTCCCTGCCTCCTGGTCCTACGTGACCAACTCTCTCCACACTCCTCACCCTTCAAGCAATTGGTAGCCCCAACCACACTGCCGGTTTTCCCACAGAGCAGTCAAACCTGGCTTGGCAGAGGTGGCAGGTAAAGACGGACTGCCCTACTCCAGCCCAGCCCTGTTCATTCACCATCTTTCCTCCCTCAGGGGACCCATTACTGTCCAACACCTTCACTGAGACCAGCAGCCACTGGCCCCAGGGACCAGTTGGACTACCAGGACCCCCAGGGCCCATGGGTAAGTTGAGTCTAGGTCCAGTTCCAGGGGTGGGGTTGGGAAATGGCAGAGGGACTAGGACTATGGCTATCAGGAAGGAACAGATGGTGGAATTCCTGGCATCGTACTCTGTTTCAGTCCTGAGGACATCCTGTCTTATTCTAGGTCCCCCTGGACTTCCTGGTCCCATGGGCATCCCTGGGAGTCCTGGACACATGGTGAGTAGTTCTCCTATTGCTCCCATCTGTCCATCCATTCATCCACCCACCCACTTATCAGTCCGCATATCCACCCATCCATCAATCATTCAACCATTCAAGCATTTATGGAGCACTTAACATGCAAACTACTTTCCATAAATCTTTTCATTCAGTCTGTGTAAGGAGAAACAAGTATTGTTGATACATGTGGCCAAGAAAGGTAGAGGTTCTTGGCCTAAGGCTGCTGTCAGCACATGGCAACTTCCAGATCAGGGTAGGGATTTTCTGACTCCAGGGCCATAACTCTGAACCCTGAGCTATACAAACTGCCTGCTGTGTGCCAGGCACTGGGAGTATAGTAAAGAACCCAGAGGCCCAGGCCAACTGAGGCTCCCTCCTTGACCCCTCTGTGCACCCCCAAGTCCTTGTCCATCCCATCCCACCTCAGCATAAGGCTGAGGCCCTGTCTTATTGCTCAGGGACCCCCAGGCCCCACTGGACCCAAAGGAATCTCCGGCCACCCAGGAGAGAAGGGAGAGAGAGTGAGTACTGAGGCAGTCCCTGGTGGAAGATTCTGGGAGGTCTTGGGGTCCCTGGGTCACACCTCCCAATAGCTGACTTCATACCTCTCCTCCCTCCCAAACAGGGACTGCGTGGGGAGCCTGGCCCCCAAGGCTCCATGGGGCATCGGGTGAGTGATGCTGCCTATCCTACAGCACTCCCTCCAGGATCCCACAGGTCCAGACCCTTGCTTTGGCTCCCACTGCATCCAGAGCTCCCAACCCTCCCTCCTGTCCAGAGCATGGTCCATCTCTCTCTTTGTCTCTGGGTCCTGTCTACCTCTTAGAATCAGGCCACATGCCTCTTCCTCACTTGAGCTCTGTATCTCTGTATTTGTTTCTCTATCTCTCTCTTTCCTCTGTGTCTCTGTCTTTCTGACACTCTATATTTCTCTCTTTCACTTTCCATCTTTCCAACTATGATTGTAGATTTGTCTATTTCTCCCTATAGTTTGGTCAATATTTGCTTAGTATATTTTGAAGCTTTGTTATTAGGTACATATATTTTCAGGATTTTAATGTCAACTTTATGAAATGAATATCTTTCTAGTGATGCTGCTTGTTCTGCATTCTACTTTGATACTAAAATAAAGATACCAACTTTCTTATACTTAACATTTGCATGGTAGAGATTTTTCAGTCTTTTTGCTTTCAATCCTTTTCAATCATTTGCTTTCAACCTATTTAAAGTATATCTCTGGTAAACAGCATATACTTGGGACTTATTTTTTAAACAGTCTTGACTATTGAGTTCAGTTACATTTAATGATATGTAGAATTATTGATATGGATGCATTTAAGTCAACCATCTTGCTATTGTGTTCTGTTTACCCCATCTCTTCTTTATTTTTTCCCCTTTTTCCTGTCTTCTTTTGGAATGAGTATTATTTACAGTCCCATTTTATCTCTACCAATGACTTTGTGTTATTTCTTCACAGTTGTTCCAAGGATAACAATATACATCCTTGACTTACCACAATTTGCTTGAATTAGTATTATACCACTTTATATATAAATTGGAATTTTACAATATAATTTGCCCCTTTTAACCTTGCTCTATCACTGTCATATATTTCACTTCTGCATTTGTTATAATCCCCACAATGTATTGTTGTTATTGCTTTAACAGTTGACTTTGAAAGAAGTTAAGAAAACAAAGAAAAATAGGCTTTTACATCTACCATATATTTATTGTTTCTAATGATTTTCTGTAGCTCCAGATTCCATCTGGTATCGTTTGTCTCCAGCCTAAAGAATATACTTTAACTCTGCCTGTATGGGCCTGGTGGCAACAAATCCTCCCTGCTTTTATCTAAAACTGTATTTTACCTTAATTTTTAAAAAAGATTTATTTATTTATTTGTGAGGGAGAGAAAGAGAGCACATGTAGTGAAGGGCAGAGGGGCAGAATCTTCAAGCAGACTCCTCACTGAGTGGTGAGCCTGACATGGGGTTTGGTCTCATGACTCATGAGATCACAACGTAAGCCAAAACCAAGAGTTGGCCGCTTAACCAACTGAGCCACCCAGGAGCCCCTACCTTAATTTTGTAAAGATACTTTCATTTGGATATAAAATGATAGTTTGACAGTTTTCCTCCCTTTTAGCACTTTAAAAATGTTGTTCCATGGTCTTCTGGTTGACATAGTAAATTACAATTTCTCATGAGAAATTGGCTGTGGTTCCTGTTGTTCCCTTGTATATAATGTGTCTTTTTTCTTTGGCTTTTATGATTTTCTCTTTACCCTTGGTCGTCGTCGTCGTCGTCGTCGTCGTCCTCCTCCTCCTCCTCTTCTTCTTCTTCTTCTTCTTCTTCTTCTTCTTCTTCTTCTTCTTCCTTCTTTCTTCTTCTTCTTCCTCTTTTTAATGTGTTTCTTTTAGCAACAAAGATAGTGACAGAGAACATGAGTGGGAAGGAGAGGGAGAAGCAGGCTCCCTGCTGAGAGGGGAGCTTAGTGCAGGGCTCTATATCCCAGGACCATGACTGGAGCAGAAGGCAGTTGCTTAACCCACTGAGCCACCCAGGTGCCCCTACCCTTGGTTTTCAACAGGTTGCTCATGATGTAGTTGGGTGTGACTTTGTGCTTATCCTTTCGGTTTGCTAAGATTCCCAGACCTGTAAGGTTGCTGGGACTTTTTTGTTGGTTGTTTTGTTTAATTGATAAAATTATTTTTAGAGCCTTTTGGGGGAGTCACAGCAAAATTAAGCAGAAAGTAGAGCGCATTCCCATATATTCCCTGTCCTCACATATGCATATCCTTCCCCACTATCAACATCTCGTGTACAATGGTACATTTGATACAACGGAATCCACATTGCCACATTATCACCCTAAGTCCATAATGTACATTAGGGTTCCCTCTAATGTACATTCTAAGGTATTACTAGGTGTATACCATCATGTATCCACCATTGTAGTATCACACAGAAGAGTTTCACTGACCTAAAAATCCTTAGTGCTCTGCCCATTCATCCCTCTCTCCTCACTAAATACATTTAAGCTTCCTCCGAGTCTTTTCATGGTTTGATAACTCATTTCTCTTTAGCTGTAAATAATATTCCATCATACGTACCACAGTTTGTCCATCCACCTAGTGAAAGACATCTTGTTTGCTTCCAAGTTTTGGCAATTACAAATAAATATCTGTGTGCAGGTTTTTGTGTGGACATAAGTTTTTAGTTCATTTGCATAAATGCCAGTGATTGCAATTGCTAACTCATTTAGTATGTGTAATTCAATGAGAAACTTTTTGGTAAGAAACACACTTTTTGTGTGGGTATATGTGCATGTGTAGTGAGAACACTTAAGATCTACTCTCTCAGGGACACCTTGGTGGCTCAGCGGATAAGCATCTGCCTTTGGCTCAAGACATGATCCTGGAGTCCGTGGATCGAGTCCCACATCGGGCTCCCTGCATGGAACCTGCTTCTCTCTCTGCCTGTGTCTCTGCCTCTCTCTGTGTGTGTCTCTCATGAATAAATAAATAAAATCTTAAAAAAAAAAAAAGATCTACTCTGTTAGCAATTTCAGTTATACAATACAGTATTTTTTTTAAGATTCTATTTATTTATTCATGAGAGACACAGAAAGAGAGAGAGAGAGAGAGAGGCAGAGACACAGGCAGAGGGAGAAGCAGACTTTATGCAGGGAGCCTGACATGGGACTCAATCCCGGGTCTCCAGGATCATGCCCTGGGCTGAAGGTGGCCCTAAACCACTGAGCCACCTGGGCTGCCCACAATACAGTATTGTTAACTGTAGTCACCATACAATATATTAAATCCTCAGAACTTAGTCATGTTATAACTGAAAGTTGATATTCTTTTATCAGCTTTCCCCAAGCCCAAGTCCCTGGCAACCACCATTCTACTGTTTCTCTTTCTCTATATTCAACTTTTTTTTTTTAAAGATTTCACATATATAAGTGATACGATGCAGTATTTGTTTTTCTCTCTCTGGTTTATTTCACTTAGCATAATGCCCTCCAGGGTCATCCATGTTGTCACAAATGGAAAATGTTCCTTCTTTTTTAAAGGATAAATAATGTTCCGTTATATATGTACGTACATACATACATACATACCACATTTCGTTTATCCATTCATCCATTGGCAGGCACTTAGGTTGTTTCCATATCTTGGCTTTTGTGGATAATGCTGCAATGAACATGGGAATGCAGATATTTCTTTGAGATAGTGATTTTGTTTTCTTTGGATAAATACCCAGAAGTAGGATCACCGGATTTTTTTTTTTAAGATTTATTTATGATAGACATAGAGAGAGAGAGAGGCAGAGACACAGGCAGAGGGAGAAGGAGGCTCCCCGCAGGGAGCCTGACGTGGGACCCGATCCCGGGACTCCAGGATCGTGCCCTGGGCCAAAGGCAGCCGCTAAACTGCTGAGCCACCCAGGGATCCCAAGGACCACTGGATTGTATGATAATTCTATTTTTAATTTCTTGAGGAACTTCCATTATGTTTTCCATAAAGGCTGTATCAATTTATATTCCCACCAACAGTATATAATAGTTCCCTTTTTTTCATATCCTCACCAACATTTATTATCTCTTGGGGTTTTTTATTTATTTATTTTTAAAGATTTTATTTATTTATTCATAGAGACACACACAGAGAGAGAGAGAGGCAGAGACACAGGCAGAGGAAGAAGCAGGCTCCATGCAGGGAGCCCGACGTGGGACTCGATCTGGGGTCTCCAGGATCACACACCAGGCTTCAGGCGGCACTAAACCGCTGTGCCACTGGGGCTGCCCTCTTGGGGTTTTTTTAAATAATAGACATCCTAACAGGTGTGAGGTGATATCTAAAGTTATGGCTTTGGGACGCCTGAGTGACTCAGTGGTTGATGTCTGCCTTTGGTTCAGGGTGTGATCCTGCTGTCCTGGGATTGAATCCTGCATAGGGCTCCCTGCAGGGAGCCTACTTCTCCCTCTTCCTATGCCTCTGCCTCTCTCTCTCTGTCTGTCATGAATGACTAAATAAAATCTTAAAAAAAAATAAAGTTATGGTTTTGATTTGCATTTCCCCAATAATTAGTGATCTTGAGCATCTTCTTACATACCTATTGGCCTATCTCTTCTTTGGGAAAATGTCTATTCAGGTCCTTGCCTATTTTTAATTGGCTTATTGGGTGGGGTTTTTTTTTTAAGATTTTATGTATTTATTCATGAGAGACACAGAGACATAGGCAGAGGAAGAAGCAAGCTCCCTGTGAGGAGCCTGATGTAGGACTCGATTCCAGGACCCCGGGATCATGACCTGAGCCAAAGGTAGGTGATCAACCACTGAGCCACCCAGGTGCCCCTGTTGGGTGGTTGTTGTTTTCTCCAGTTGAGTTGTATAAATTCCTTATATGTTTTAGATATCAACTCATTATTAGATAGATGGTTTGCAGATATTTTCTCCCATCCCATAGATTGCCTTTTCTTTTCCTTTTAATTTTATTTGATGGTTTCCTTTGCTGTGCAAAAGCTTCTTATTTTTTGTTTTTATTTTTATTTTTTAAGTAGGCTCCATGCTCAGCATGGAGTCCAATGCAGAGCTTGAGCTCACTGCACTGAGATTAAGACCTGAGCTGAGATCAAGAGTTGGATGCTTAACCAACTGAGCCTCTC